ACTTCGAATAAAAGTAGCACTGCGCATTCTGAATGAAAATAACAAAAATTACGTCATCGATTTCAGCTCTTCTTGGAATGCGCCATGCATTCGATTTCGATTCACATTCACAAAGCATTTGTGATAGGAATGATGGGATGGTAAGCCATCCACAAAAATAATATAAAACTTAGATAAAGACTGTATATGCAGCCGTACACGAGAGCGGACTGACAAATGGCTTGCAGAAGCAAGGATAACTCAAGGTTGCTGTCGTCCCAAAATGTAAACCCTGTTTGCAGCTACGGAATACAACGTTCCACTTACTTCTACTATACCACCTCTTCCGCATCATCAATAGAAACAGTTTTTTGAGCACATTTAACATTAACCTTACCTCTTGTCTCATTGAAACCATCGACTTATCTGGCGTTGTAAACAAGTTGATTGTTCCAGTCTTATCCTGAACACATTTGATTAGTTGATTCAAAGAGCGAGTCTTTAATTGGTTTTATATTATTGAACAATAACAATATAGCAAGGGCAGAAGTGCTATAGTGGCAAGTGGCGCCATTAATCACGCGCACGGTGCAAGCGTCAAATCCTGGACTTAAGCGACGGCTAGCCCTACCAAACCCACATAACTCTGGTTTCAGCTAATTGGTTCAGAGCTGTCTGTGGTATAAGAAAATTGACTTATGCATCGACTAGCCTTGTAAGTCATTGCATTGGCCAAGTCGCATTCAACTGCCATTACGAATTCGAATGGGAGTAGAATGCGAGGCTCACCCTGAATGACTAACCAACGTCGAATCTTCCCCCTTATTCTCCCCCTTCAGCACTTCCTTTAGCTCGAATATTTGATGGAATGTAATACTTCAGAGGCAAGGATCACTAATGGTAAGTGATAAGGTCAACTGTGGGATGCAGATTCACCCACGGAAAACATCACGAATCGCGATGTTTGCATATCCAAACGTGAGCAAGAATGACACAGCCACTTGACTGCGCTAACATGTATGAAGTCTCGCAGTACCAAGCGTGGTGGTGATGCCGGGTCTCCGGCGGGGCTACCTTCATTTCTCTCGAGAATGTAGCATCAACTCCGAAACAGCCTTTTTCATAGCAGGAAACAGCTGCAGCCTCGCCCTGTAGTTTAATCCTCGCTTATCCTATCAACAAACTATCAGCCATCCCATCCTCAAACTTTTTAACCTTTACAAAACCTATCA